GACGAAATATGTTTTAGCCTTCATTAGACTTCATTTAGTCTATTATCACACAAACAATTAGAACTATTAAAACTGTAGATGGTTTCACATGCTTTCTCTGATCCAGACATTTAAGGCCAACAGCAGTCCATGCTGGTCTAGATGGTTTATCAGATGAGCCACATGTTGGTGGAGCTAAAGTTGACCTGTCATCTTGGTCAAGAAAGGTAAAGCTGGTCTGAACAAATGATAGCTGGTTTGAAACAAGAATGCTCCAAAACTAGCTTGACCATCCAATGGTTTGACCTGGTTTTCCCACTCTCACAAAATTAGTTTGTCTCATTGTTTAATTTTTTTTCATGTATGTTTATTTGTTTTCAGTTCTCCATGCATTTACAGAGAGTTTTTACTCAGCCTATTCTAAAATAATTTTAGAACATCAAATTTACATGTATGTAAAGGTTGCATTGCCACTGGCTTATTTTACAAACCTGACAACTTCTACAATGATCTCTTTCCCCAGCTCACTCCTGAAAGGCTTTTTTTTTTTTTTTTTTTTTTTTTTTTGGAGATAAAAACCCATCCAATGGCAGTTGTGTTGGATTGTTTCTGTGGAAATGGAGGCTAAATATATGTCCGCCTCTCCTCTTTTGTTTTCCTCTCACAGTTCTCGCTAAGGGTGGAGTGGTGGATTGTGGGATGATTTTAGCAGCATGATATTGTAGGTGGAATTCCAATGAAAAGTCAAGAATTTGCATATAAATAAAGACCAATGCCTCTATTTTAAGTTTGAAAATGATGTATAGCCTACTGAAAAAAAAACCTACTCCAAAATTTTTTTTCATACCAAGTAGTAGTAACATATTTACTTACATATCACTTATTAGCATAATAACATAGCACAATAACATTTCCTTAAGTATTTCTTTAGTTGGACCTCAGCACTTGAGGAAGTACAAGATTAGTAGGCTACATAATTAGTAAAATACTTGAAAGGGGGTTATTGTGTATTTGGTTTTAGGTAATAAAAAAGTCATTATTTTACATACTATGCATTATTGTTGCTCCTCTGCCCCGCCTTTCTGAAACACAGCGATTTTTACAAAACTCATCGTTCTGAAAAGCGCGGTGTGCTCTGATTGGCCAGCGATCCTGTGCATTGTGATTGGCCAAAAAAAAACTTAAGCGTGTGGCGGAAATCTCACGCCCCATACCATATTTGGAACATGACAGGTGATAATGCTGTTATCAATAGAGTGCCGAAGTTATGACGTCACTTTGTAGGACAACTCGGAAGTTAGCGGCGCATGGGTTCCCATTTAGCATTTTGGCCTACAAAGTGACATCATAACTTCGAAACTCCATTCGCGCCCAAATTTGATCCAGTAAATGCAGATTTCCCAGCTGATCGATCAATTTTGCCAGCGCGACTGGACGACATCGTATCAGATTGGTAAGGATTTTAACGTGGCGCCATTTTAATGACAAGCAAGCGACTCTATACTGCTCAAAACTCGTGTTTGAATAGTCAGTGCAAATTTTTAAAATATGAAAACATACTTACAGGCTTGGGAGTCAGAAGCGCCAGAATGTACACGTAAATATGGAATTGCCTCACTTTTTAGAGCTTGACCTTGTACTCTCGCAGGTTCTGGAAACAGTCCTCCGAAAAATGCGCCTCACATTCGAAATTTTTAGTTGTACTGTACTGGAACAGTGTTGTAAATAAAGCTTAAGCACTGTTTTCAAATTGTGTCCTCTTTTGGAAGGCTAAACAAAGTAGTTTGGCTTTCACAACGAAAAATACAGCGTGTTGCTCCACAACATGGCGGCAACAATAATGAATAAAAGAGAATAAAAGTTACGTCTTCTATCTTTGCGTATACATTTGGGCGGTGTTATGAAACTCTGCCCCCACACACTGACGTACAGTAGATTTGTTTGAACGAAGCATTTTAGGAAGGTGTGGCTGAGCCTTAACTTTTATAAAGAAAAAGAAAACAAGAAATTGCATCATATGACCCCTTTAAGTAGGCCTATATTAATTTAGTATTCCAAAACAATTGCAAGGTATTAATATAAGGTACATGAATATGTAGTAGCCTAAATGTTTTTGTAGTATACTTAGTATAAAATAAATGGGTAGCACTTTATTTGGTACCACTTCCTTTTACAGTACAGTACTTACAGTGTACTTACCTAGAAAGTACTGGCTAATATAAGGTAAGTACATGGAACAGGGGAAGGTTTAGGGGTAGGTTCAGGGTTAGTATTAGTTAATTGTAGTTACTAAAATAAGTACATAGTATTTACATGGGTAACTGGACTGTAAAAGGAAGCGTTACCCTTTATTTTACACTACTGTTCCGCATGTACTTTCAATGCAGTTATGGGCTATATGCACGCATTAGTTCCGCATTTGACGTAAGGATGCTCGTCCATTTCCGGTTGTGTAGATTAAAGCGGAGGAAAACCGGAGAAAACGGGATTATGGCAGAGTCTTCAATATTTACTGTCCTCCCGTCTTTGAAACGAAACGTACATACGTTTAGATGTAATTTTATATAGTTATGTTTATTTAATATAATTTTAAAAAGAAGGATAAACACAACGAGGGGTGTCTGTTTTATCTGTTTTTGTGACTAACGTTTCATTAGTATAACCATGGAGTATAAAATTCAATATAAATTCTCGGTATTGCATTGGACTCTATGATCGGCGGAAGTTATCGAGCATCCCTAATGCTTCACCGGAAATAACGCCGTGCATAGAGCCCATTACAGTCATTATAATAACTGGGTTATAACCCTGAAGTTACCCCTAAACCTAGTATCACCCACTACTTTCTTAAGTTATTACACTGTTAGTACATGTAAGTGCACATACTTTAAAATTAAGTGCAACCAATAAATGTTTTTAAAACAAACAAACCGGTCAATATTTGATTTCAGTTCTTCTAAAGGTTTCAGTTAGCCTAATTAATGGAATGTTGTGAATCTGCATTTACAGTTAATGGTCATGTGTGATTTGATGCTGACGTGTAGGTTCCATGCTTCATCTGTGTATCCTTTTAGAGAACATGGGAAGCTTGTGTTGCTGTTGTCATGGATACTGCCAAGTGAGGAACAGTTGATTGATTTAAAAGAGGAATGTGTCTTGTTATCAATGCTAGTAAGTACTGTATAAACTCAGTGAACTTGTGTGCGTATTTCTATGTTCTCAATCTACAGTAAGTGCATTTAAATACTTCCCAATAACTAGTTTAAAGATCACCATACCTTCAGTTTTCTTGCGTTTAGTGTTTCTTTGGGAAACGACTGTCTCCGCAGAGAATTTTTAATAATAGCTCGTGAGTGACATTGAAATGTGTGTGGGTCGGCTGTATGTAGGCCAATCCATGGTGGAGTGTGTGTTACTCAGAGAGCACATGTAGATGTGTAGTACTTACACGATGGTAGGCGTAGATCGACAAAACACACTTGGCTTCAGTGTTTCAGGTAAAACGTTTTTAGAATGAACTACAGGTTTCTATTTTACGCTCTATTATCGATTGCTCGTATCTTTGGGCTGTGTTTGCACCCCCAAAAATTAACACCCCCAAAAAGCATAATGATATTCGTGAATTCGTCATTTGTGACATTTGTATAGATATATAGGCTATTTGATATTTGAAAAACGTTTTTTAAAAACCTTTTGAGGAATGATTAAAGGGATACTCCACTTTTTTTTTTGAAAGTCAGCTGATTTTCAGAAATTTAGAAGAATATCAGAAACCAGACAGTTTCTGGTCCCATTGATTGACCATAGTAGGAAAAATATATATACTATGGAAGTCAATGGGATGTGTACACTCACAATTAAGTGTTGGTTTACCCAAAAATGACAATTCTTCGGAACACAAATCTGAGAAGAAACGCAAATCTTTTTGTCCTCTATTGACAGCTATGCAACTCCTACTTTGACACTTCAAAAAGTATGGAAGCTTGTTTCCGCCACTGAATAAAAAAAATTAATAAATAATTGTGACTTTTTATCTCACAATTCTGACTTTTTTTCCTCACAATTCTGACTTTTTTTCTCACAATTGCGAGTTTATATCTCACAATTCTGACTTTATTTCTCAGAATTGCGTGATATAAAGTCACAATTACGAGTTATAAAGTCAGAATTGTGTGTTATAAAGTCAGAATTGCGAGATATAAAGTCAGAATTGCGAGATATAAAGTCAGAATTGCGAGATATAAAGTCGCAATTCTGAGAAAAAAAGATAGAAGTGTGACTTTTTTTCTCACAATTGCGAGTTTACATCTCGCAATTCTGACTTTATAACACATAATTGCGAGTTTATATGTCGAAATTCTGACATCTTTTCTCAGAATTGTGAGATATAAACTCGCAATTGCGACTTATTAGGCCAATTCTAAGGGGAAAAAAGACTAACTTTTTTCCCCCTCAGAATAGTTTAAATCTCACAATTCTGACTTTATATCATGCATTTCTGACTTTATAACACGCAATTGCGACTTTATATCTAGCAATTCTGACTTTATAACTCGCAATTCTGACTTCATATCTCGCAATTCTGACTTTATATCTTGCAATTCTGACTTTATAACTCGCAATTCTGACTTCATATCTCACAATTCTGACTTTATATCACGCAATTCTGACTTTATATCTCGCAATTGCGACTTTATATCACGCAATTCTGACTTTATATCTCACAATTCAGAATTGCGAGAAGTAAACTCACAATTGTGAGAAAAAAAGTCTGAATTGTGAGATAAAAAGTCGCAATTACCTTTTATATTTTTCATTCAGTGGCGGAAACAAGCTTCCATAAAAAAGTTCACAAATCTGAGGAAAAAAAAGTCCCAATTGAATTGTGAGAAAAAAAAAAAAAAAAAAAAAACTTTAGCATTTTTTATTCTGTGGTGGAAAAATGATTTCCTAAGATTGCTTTCCCAGTCAGACCAAAAATAATTCTGTTTGTCTTTTATGTTTTTTTCTCATTCTATTAGACCCATAATTCCTCAGTACAAGACCTCCTTCACCACCACTATGGATGCCCAATCTGAACACGTTGCCATGGAGCTGGACTTCGGCCATTTTGATGAGCGGGACAAGGCGTCTCGGACCTCACGAGGTGGACGGCCCAACGGCCTCCCCAGCCCCACTCACAGCGCTCACTGCAGTTTCTACCGTACACGCACCCTCCAGGCTCTGACCAATGAGAAGAAGGCTAAGAAGGTCCGGTTCTACCGCAACGGCGACCGCTACTTTAAGGGCATCGTGTATGCAGTGGCCAGTGACCGTTTCCGCACATTTGATGCGCTTCTGGCTGACCTGACCCGCTCTCTGTCTGACCACATCAACCTGCCACAGGGGGTCAGATACATCTTCACCATTGATGGATCACTAAAGATCACCAATCTGGATGAGCTCGAGGAAGGTGAGTGTTTTGAGTTAGGCCTTTTTGTATTTATGTTAAAGGTGGATTGCGCAACATTTCATGTTAAAGGTGAACTCTGGTGCAAAATGAACCTTTGGTCTAATTACACATTGTTACCTAGTCAACCGTTCTCTGAGATTTGTTTTCATGATTGCCGAATGTAAATAGTTTTATCTCTAAAAACAGTTTAGCCTATAACGCTTTGAAATACGCTGACGAATAACACACGCTGATATTTTTCCCGGCCTTAACAGTGTTGAACACAGTGCCACGCTTGACTCTGGAGCTCGCAGTGCATATTTATCTGTTACTACTGTAAAGCTTTATTAAATAATTATAGGATCTCATCCAATGCTTTCAGAATCTTTACTTTTTAAAATATTTTTGTTTCTGTGTATTAACATATTTTAATGACAGTATACGTATTTATTGGATAAATATTATTTTATTTATTAAAATAAAACCAAAATAGTAAAACATTTTGAACAAATATTAAATTATAAATTATGAAAAAAAAATATTTTTAAGCTCAAGTATTTTTTTTTAAATTGTGTTTAATCCCATGTGTGGAGTAAAAGGCCCACCTTGCCACCTCATATACATTTATACAATTTTTAATCAAACAAACCACTTTTATGATTTGTTTTCACACAAAATCTGTTACTCCATCAAAATGTTCAATAAAATTTTTTTTATGCAATCACACATTTTTCAAGGTGTGCCTTTTGCCCCGTTGTACCCTATTAGTGTGTGACGAGCACTAAACCAGTTGTTAGTAAAACACACACTGCCCACCTGCACTAAGCTCTCCAAGAGCTAAAAGCAGATTGGTTGGCCTGTCTGGTTGCCATGCCAACAGTAATATGCCCATTAAAGGTTGACACCAGCTTTAATCCTGAACATTCACACTCACACATGTCTAAGGCTTCAATACCAGTGTAACAATAATAGCTGAAACTGAGGTTGAAAGCAGAAAACAGTTTACCGGAAATATGTATAAAACAAAATGTGAAAGTATTTTATGTAGTTCGGGTTGAATAAATTGCAGTTATTAGTTTTTGTATTAGAACAAACGTAACAACTGTTTAAGGAATATTAATACTGTGCCGCCTGTCCAATGTACACATGCAAAGTGGCTTGTTTTCAACATTGCTATTTGGAAAAACTTAAAAGCCACCGAGAAGGCTAGTGTTTCCAAACTGTGTCGCTCATGCATGCTAACATTTTAGTCACAGGTCAAAGATCAGAGGGCTTAGCAGTCATTCAGTACGTGTAACATGGTAATTACTTTAATCCAGCTCTTAAGTTGTATGAAGTCAATGCTAGTGCACTTCTCCTGTATAGATAGTTCACATGGGGAAACACATTTTGGATGTACTTTGAGTCGGGTTGTATGATAAATCAGTGGCCGCAGCTTTATCAGCTAAGTGTGGCATAAATGATCAGAAACGGAAGTTGTGATAGTCTTTTCTTCCCTATTGTGTGACGTATATCCGAGTGAAACTGCTTCTCAAACAAGAAGAAATGTAAGAAGGGACTTAATTTAGTCCATCAGTAATTGATTGGATAGCTGGATGGTTGTGGTTTGCTATTGGTCAGAGAAAAGATGTCGCTGTAAAAAGGAGGGGAAGTTATTTCGATTAAAGATGACGAAGGCACATCTATCCTTTAATCTATACCGTACCCTCAGTTTGTCTTGCATACTGGCACTTCTCATATGTTGTCGCTATTCTCATCCCCAATTCATCCTCTCATCCATCCTCTCAAGCATATAATGATTTTCGGGTAGCACTTTATTTTTCAGTCCTGTTCCCTGTGTACACACCATGTACTTAATAGTAATTACTGAGTAATAACTAGGTAATAACCCTGAACCTACACCTAAACCTAACCTTAACCCATTTACATTATTACCCAGTACTTTCTTATGTAAGAACACTGTTGTAAGAACAACTGATTTTCTTTTATTTATTTAGTTTTTTTGTTTAATTTCTAACCAAACTATTTAAGTGATTGGAAGCAGCAAATGTTTTCCACATGAAAAGACAAGACATTCTTCATCACAGAGCAATTCTGCTTTGTCAGTATATGTTGAATTTGAGATGAATCAAGCTGGGAGCAGACAGCAAATAAAGGAGCCTAGAGGAACATGCTCGAAATGTGTGGCACCCAGACACACACACACACACTCAACCGCTAAACCGTGTGTTTCTGGAGCTCAGCTTTTCTGTGTCGTTTGCTGGTGTGATGCATCTGGATGTTAACCGCACTGCCTATGCATTTAAGAGTGTGGTATGCACACACACACACACACACACACACACATGTACGTTCTTATACAAACCTAATACTATTTTCTACAACCCCTCACAGAAAAAAAGTTTAGAATTTTTTGTATGTTTATTAAGCTGTTTTCATTTGATTGCTCCCCATAGTCACAAATATCCTAAAGGAATGTGTACAGGATTCCTGATGGAATTTGTGGCATGATTTGGAGGCAATCTTAAAGGATCCTAATGGAATTGATTGCAAAAGAATTCCCACATTTCCTACAAAGTAAAAGTCCTGCAGGATTTTTAAATTATTTTCTCTTTGGATATTTAATAATAATATTTATCATATTTCATATCATGTTTTGCTCCTGTACAATTAAACCCCCCCCCAGTTTTACAGGGTCATTTTATCCTATTATCGTAATTATTGGAAATAATTGGGAGTCCTATTGGGAACTATGTTATAAATATGTCATCTATTTTTTGTTTGAATCCGATGAAGTCTATATACTTCTGGCTATTAAAACTAATTAGGTCAGGCATTCTCAAGCCATCATACATTTTATCTTGACAAACCTTTTCATCAAGTTGTTTTTTTTAATCATCACAAGTCATGGTCAAACTTACTGTACATTCACATTCATGCAGTAAGCATATTATTTTATCGTAACTTACAATAGATGAGCATAATCCGTCACAGAGCTAAAGATATTTGCAGCATACAATGCCATGTTTATTAAAAAGCTAAATTAGAGTAGGAAAAGAAGAGAATTTTATTGATTGATTTATTTTAGGGCTGTCAAACGATTCCAAAATAAAAGTTTGTGTTTACATAATATATGTGGGTGCACTGTGTATAATTATTATATATATATATATATATATATATAAATACACACACATGCTTGTATATATTTAAAAATATTTTCATGTATTGAGAATGAGGAGTCACGTGTCTGAGCCGGTCGGCCATGATGGTAGGAGACGCTATCGGTTACCAGGGGCAACGCGTTTAGAACCCATAGACGCGACTAATCATTCCAGAGCTCTTAAATTTTCGCGCATTTATTATTTTGGCAGGACAGAGACGGATCTAAGAATACGAGAAAAAAAGGAAGAAAGTAAAGCAATGCTAAAAGATAAGGCGAAAGAAAAGGGACCTTACAGGAACAACTCACACAAAGTGCAAAACGGCTGTATTTGGAGAAGCACCATCAATATATTTGTTCTTTTGCACTAATAACAGTATCATTATTTTATTATTATTACTTATGTTGTCCATGAAACTAATGTTGTCCAAATAGCCTATATATTTCAGTTCTCAATAAATATTGTTAAGCCATATCAAGTTGTTTCAAAAAAGTAATGAACAAGGCACTCAAACAACACTTTTGCATATGTTCGTTAAGGCACAGCAAACAGTGAAAATCGTATACTAAAGGCATCAGCAAACCCAGCAATCCGGCATCTCCTCGTCAGGTCAGACTCTCCCTGCTGTGTCAATTTCGGTAACCCCAAAAACTTAATTCCATTGTTCCTATGTTTTCCAAATGTATCGTGTGAGTTACTGGAGGAGTTTTTAACGCAGCAGTTACTTCCAGGCATGGTAAAACAGTGCGGTATTGCGAGAAACTCCTCTACTACCGAGCTAAAAACACACGTAATCAATGCTGTTTTGCCGTGGGAATCCAACCAACATGGCGGAAAGGGGAGGGGCTCTGTAAAATGACGTCAACTCCTCATTCTCAATATACTGTATATAGATTTATATATAATTTATATGATATATAAATATCAATATTTTATATATAAATAATATTTGTTTCTTAAATATATATGCATGTGTATGTATTTATATATATAAAATAATCAGTGGCGGTTCTACTTTGAATTACACCCAGGGCGAGACCCCCTTTGGGCGCCCCCCAAGTGAATTGGTTTTGCTTGTGTAGTGGTTAAGTGCTGGCGGAGAAGGTGTGTCTTCTTGAAAGATGTGATTGTTTCAGCAGTTCAGATGGAGGCTGCTGCTCATTCCACTAGAGAGAGCAGAAGGTTTTGGAAAGCAATTTCATTCCTCATACATCATAGTAGCAAAACACTACAAATCAGCAATGAAACCAAATGTACTGTAGCAGAAATGTGTTGAGCTGTTCAACCACTCATCTTTCGTTCTCTGTTTCTCTGTTTTCCACCTTTTCAGGTGAGAGCTACGTTTGTGCCTCCGAGAACTACTACAAGAAAGTGGACTACACCAAAAACGTGAACCCCAACTGGTCGGTCAACGTGAAAGCATCAGCCAGCCAGAAGAACATGCTAGCCAACCGCTCCGCCAGCGAGGCGAGGGAGACCAAGGACTTTGTTCGACCCAAGCTGGTGACAGTGATGAGGAGCGGGGTGAAGCCGAGGAAGGCTGTCCGTGTGCTGCTCAATAAGAAGACGGCACACTCTTTCGAGCAGGTGCTCACTGACATCACAGAGGCCATCAAACTCGAGAGCGGAGCCGTGAAAAGGATCTACACGCTGGATGGCAAACAGGTATGGGAGGAGTACACTTATACAGTTTGAATCCTGGGTTTCTTGCTTCAAGTTTCACATTGCTCATAATTCACCTGGGGTTAATAATTAATACACTCTAAACAATGCTGGGTTGTTTGAACCCATATTTGGGTAAAATATGGACAAAAAATATATATAATTTCAAACTCCAACCCAACTTCAATTTTTTTTAACTGCATTTCAACCCAACATTTGGGTTTGTCCATATTTGACCCAAATTTGGGTTGAAACAAGTGTATACTTAGAATTTATAAATATTTAGAGTGCATAAAATGTACATGTAGGCACTACTGTACCTGATAATTAGCCAAATGAATCAATACTGAATCATGATCAGAGTCAATCTCAAGCTTTTGAACCAAATCACACCCTCCCTCCACCCCACAGCCCCCATCCATAATTCTCACTCCAAGCTAAACTCAACAGTTGGCAGCTGGTCTTCATAAGCTGTCTTTTCACACGGTACATTCCTATCCTTGGGTTTATGTCCTTATTTGCATATTTGCAGTGTCAGTGTCGTTGATTGGACGAACTACGCGACCAGTTTACATAAAAGCTCTAGCATTTCACATCCTTGGCGGTCTTTTCTTCACTCCAACTGTTGTGTTTTCGGTCACCATTTAACATTTTTCCCATCAAACACTGAAACTATTGTTTAATGTGCAGTGTTTCCGTGACTGTCCAAAACATTTGAATATGAGCCATGTGATTGGTTGTCTGTTACTATGCATCTAAACAACATTCTGACACATCATCTTTTCACACTGTACAAGCTTTTTCCATCGTAATGCGGGCTTAACACTGTAAGAGGTCTCCTGAGAAGGGTTTCATAACCCCGGGTAAAACCTCACTTCTAACTATCAAGTGTGAAATGTTCCTTTACAAAACAAAAACATTAAATGAAGGGTTAAAGGTGTAGTTCACTTTAAAAAAAAAAAAAACTTTTGCTGATTATTTACTCACCCCCATGTCATCCAAGATGTCCATGTCTTTCTTTCTTCAGTCGAAAAGAAATTAAGGTTTTTGATGAAAGCATTCAAGGACTTTCTCCATATAATGGACTTCATTGGGAACCAAACGGTTCAAGGTCCAAATGAGAGTTTCAGTGCAGCTCCAAAGCACGACACCAGACGATGAATAAGGGTCTTATCTAGGACCCTTCAAGTCATGACTCGAAAAAAGATTTGTTCATTTTGATGAAGTTTGAACAGGAGAGTCACGAACGCTCATCACAGAACAGAGCAAGGCGAGCATTGGTGCTTATAAAACTTAAACTTTTTAAATTCTTTTTTAAATGAGCGATCGTTTTGCTAGATAAGACCCATTCATCGTCTGAAATCGTTTAACGTCCTTTGAATCTGCACTGAATCTCTCATTTGCACCTTGAACCGTTTGGTTCCCAATGAAATCCATTATATGGAGAAAATTCTGGAATGTTTTCATCAAAAACCTTAATTTCTTTTCGACTGAAGAAAGAAAGACGTGGACATCTTGGATGACATGGGGGTGAGAAAAATTATCAGCAAAAGTTTTTTTCAAAAGTGAACTACTCCTTTAAGAATGATGATAACGCGGGGTTAAGCGCAGTGTGTAAAGACGTTCTGAGACAATGTCCAGAATCTAATACGTAATCACAATAGAGACAATGATTCAAAAGCTCTACCTGTTGACAAATTTCTTCAGGTTTATCACATCTACTAGTACATATGAGTGTGTTGTGTAGCTATAGTAAGTCTACTATGTGTAGTATGCCATTCCGAATGCGAAACATCAGAGTATGTGAACAGGTACTCTTTGTTTAGTTTGATTAGCCTATATTTATGTTGTTTTTTTAAAAATGAATTGCCAGTCATTCATAAAAGTAAACCAATGCAACACATACACACACACTGCAATAATCAAATTCCACTCAGCTAGGTTTTATGTTTCCTGTGGGAGTCTGCGTTGCAGGCCAAATATAATTTAGCCATTCATTCAACCTCACTAATGGAAGGTTTTGGTTCACAGTATAAACCACTGCCTTTACCATCATTAAATTATTGTTCTTTAATGCTTCTATTTAATGTTTGTGTTCCTGTAAATCATTTTTTTCATTGACTCCTGAAATGTTTCCTGTCAGCACCAGTAGCCAAAAATATTGATTTTCTGCTCCAACTAAAACTCCCCCATCCCCCAAAACCCAGCTAAAACCAGCTTCCAATTGTTTAGCTAGTTTCATCATTTATGTTCATTAGCTAAGCTAGATGGTTAATTAGCTGGACTACCAGTAAGTAGATTATGTTTCAGTTTTAAAAACCTGGAAAACTCAATTAAAACCAATTTAAGGTACAAACTGTGTTCTGGATGGAAGATGGCTGCTAGTTAGGCTACTAGCCGGTCCAAACTGGTCTGGTTTAGGTGGTGGATCAGCTGGTGGGGACCTGAAACCATTTTAGATCAGCAACAAGCCATGTAAAACCAACGTGATTCATTTTAGCTCCATATGTATGAAACACTATCAGCTAACTGTGCTGTACGTACGCTTGCTTTTTGATTTGGCTCATTGGATCTTTAATCCTTCACGTCTGCTTCACTTTGATATCATCATTAATTGCAGCTGTGACATGCATCTGCAGAGCAGCAGGGGCGTGACCCTCTTTTAACCTTTTGCTTTTCCCCTTCCTTGTTCTCCTTTTCTACTGCATCCCTCCTTCATTTTATTAACATTTACATAAGCATGTTCTCTTGCCCCCTTTATCTCACTCTGTCCTTCCTGAGTATCCTTTGTATTTGCTCACTCAAGCAAAACTGCTCCCTAATGAGTTCTTACGAACCGGATTCTGAACTGCAAAATTCAGATAAGATGAAAATCCAGACTTCTACCCACAATTCATAGTAACAAGAGAGGTACATCCCACACAAGACTTGTATTTTTTTTTTGAACTCGAATAACTGGAAGATTGGACTGGATAAGTAGGAAATATATTTTAGCATGAACTGCATGCTGGGAATTACATTTCATTGAATGGTGCCCAAAGGGCATTAGATGGTCATCTTTGGCAACAGAAATCTTAGATTTTTGGCATATCCAAATCAAATCCATTTGGTTGTTTGTAGACTCAACACCAAAAGGAAAAAAAGAAGAAAAAAAAACATTAAAGGGATAGTTCTCTTTGAAATTAATTTTTGATATGTTTTAGCTTACCTCAAGGGCATCCAAGAAGTAAGTGTCTTTGTTTCCACAGTATTTTCAATTTTGATATTTTTAGGTCAAACCATTCTTTCCTGTCAGTCATAAATTGGGGGTCTATGGTCACCACCTCAAAGAGCATGCACAGAGAAGTCCAAATTAAACATGATTTAATGACTCGTAAATGTAAGTACACATTGATGGCCTAAGACACGAAACGAGCGGTTTGTGTGAGAAAACGAACAGTATTTATATCGTTGTTACCTCTTGTAACCACAGCCACGTCCAAGTGATCTGAAGGCACGGGCACTTCGGTCTGCGCATGCACTGGAAAGCGCCGGAAGTGATCTCTTGTGTGGTTGCGGAAAAAAAATAAATAAATCAACGTTGTCTGTTGATATATCGTAATCCTCTCGAAATCTAAATATGTCTAGATCTTCACAGTGAAAGGTAAAACTGTTTAATTTGGACTTCTCTGTGCATGCTCTTTGAGGTGGACCCCATATACCTCCATTATATGACTGACAGACAAGAACGGTTTGACCTAAAAATATCAAAATTGAAAATACTGTGGAAACAAAGACACATACATCTTGGATGCCCTTGAGGTAAGCTAAAACTTATCAAAAAATTATTCCAAAGAGAGCTATCCCTTTAAGGTTAGTTTTTACAAACCTGGTCCAAGCCATATTCAATTGAGGTTTGAAATCTAATATATTTTTAAAAATCAGTAATATATCTGTCGTCTTTATCGTTACAAGCTCCGAAATTTTGAGTTTTCCATTCTCACTTATATCATTAGGCTACTATGGCAACTGATATTAGCAATACTGGATTTATCCGATATCAGCACTTGCAGAAGGACAGAGCGGATATGCAGGCCTAAATTTTGGATTTGAAAAGCAAAGCGGAAATGTTTGCTCTGTGAACAAAGCATGCGCTCACTGAAGCTTTTGTCACATATTTAGACAAGATGTAACAAAGTAATGTCTGGACTTCTTTAGCTGTAGACTCTTAACAGGTCTTTCTGGTTTATTCATACCATCTTTTTTAGATGTTGCCCAGACTTATTTCAACTGCTCATCTTTGTTTGATTTAGTACTCTAACTGATTGTGTGTAAAGAAAAGAAACCTATTGAAGCCAGGCCAAGCCATTGTACAATGAGATAGATAATCCAGCATCTGATTATAGTGCAGTATGTCCTTCTCAAATAATAATAATACATATAAAAGTCTCATTTATCATCTTGAAGGCCATTTTGAATTGAAATTCCAGGTGAGGTTTGGAGACCTTGCTGGAAAATCCAATTCATGGCAGGTCATTATTTGTTCCTCTCTGGTTTAGGTTATTAGGTGCCTCTGACTAGCAATACATTCACATTCAATTATTGATTATATGCATAAGCTTTTATCCAATATGACCCATTTCTTCCGTATTTCACTCTTTTTCTGTCACTGCCTCTTCCAAGATTAAATTTTACTTTCATTTGTTTAGACCCAAGACAGTCAAGGCCCCCATGATGAAGTCAAAAGGGAGGGAGGGAAAGAGAAAGTCAGATATTGTTCAAGGTCTCTCATTGCCGTGAGGTATACACATTTCAAACTCTCTCTCTCTTTTCCTCTAAGGCTTGTGTCTCTAAAGGGTTTGCCAGCTCTGTGCTGTGCGAGTGTGTTTCCATTGTATTAAGTGATGCACCACACACACACACACAACCACACATGCTAACAGATGGAGGTTGTAGGATTAGAGTGTTTTACAGAGTTAAAGCCAAGCTGTTTCTATCCCACCCACTCTTCTTAGATATGGGTA